AGTGGAGGGGCCACCATGGGCACGCAGCTTGAGACGGGCTCCCCTATGATGCCATGGCACAAAGGGCTGACGTGATCCTGGTATGTAGAAACCAAGGGGCATGAGATGGGCGATGATTTCACTTCTATGTGTGGTGTTGCTGAGACACTGAGACTGCAGGTGTCAGGTGACACACATGGGCAAAAGCAACCCAAACTCTACCTGCACTGTGCTGGGCTCTGCATTCGCTGTTACTGCACGGTGAAGAGACCTGGGAGTTGTTGTGGACATTTTGCTAAAAACATCAGCTCAGCTGCTGTCAGAAAGGCAAACAACGTGTAAGGGATGATTAAGAAAGGAACTGTGGACAGAACAGAAAGTATCATGATGCCCCTTTATAACTCCACAGTACATCCACACCTTAAATATTGTGCCCAGTTGTGGTACCCACACCTCAGAAAGGATATAAAAGAACTAGAGAAGGGGCAGAGAAGGGGAACAAGGATGCTGAGTGGTCTGGAGGGGCTTTCATATGAGGAGAGATTGAAGAGGCCAGGCTTTTCCAGTTTAGAAAAGAAACACTTGAGGCGGGGCATGAGAAAGGTTTCCAAAATAATAAAAGAGAACAGCCATAGGGATGTACTCTTTATCATCTCCCACAGTAGGGAGATGATAAATACAGATTGTAAGATGAAATGAGAAGGTAGTAAGTTTAAAATTATGCCCTGTTATTAAACTCCCTCGCCATTTGTAATGTCTTGCTTTGCCTGATGAAGGACGTGTGTCTGAAAGGTTGCTAATAATAACTTTTTTGCAACTATTTAGTTGGTCTAATAAAAGATATCACCTCTACCCAAAGAGTTTGTCTGCCACTTTAGAAAGCAGGCAGCTGTTTATCCTGAGCAATGCAGGTGCTGAACTCTTAGGAAAAAAACGATCAGGAGAAGCAGTAGATTCCCACTTTGTGCCTTCAAATCCAGATGGGATTCTTTTCCAGGACAACGCACTGTCTTCAGACATGAGTTATTGGGCTCCAGGTAGAGGCAACTGGGGGAAATACTTTGAATTATGGGATAGTGCTTTGTTCTGGCTTTCACAAGTATGGCAAAATCGTGCCTGCATAGATGGAGAGAGAGCTCAGAGTTATCAAACGTCTCAGTCTTCACTTCCCTGTACCAAATGTCTCTTGAAATAAGCCACAGGATGGGTCCCTTTCCCAGTTCCCTTCTTTCTGATTCATCTTGCTCTGGCAAGTCAGGCTATAACCCTGCAGGGTGTAGCCTACACTGGTTGTGCACAGGGACGTTAACTGTCTCCTAACCATCCCCCTGGAACCGTCACCCCCATTTCCCCATTAGGTTAGGCATCCTAATTGCAGGTGGTTTCTGGGGTAGAGAGGGATGGACCAAGATGTCTTTATGACCCGCCTCCCCCTTCAGCAGGGATCCTGGTTTTCCCTGATTAAAAAAAAAATTGAAAATTCTCTGATTTTTTTTTTTTTAAAGCAAATTCTCTGATTAAAAACCCCAAATCCATGATTATAATGGACATACAAAAAACTAGAACTCTTGGTTCCAAAATGATACCTTTTATTAGACCAACTGGAAAATGGCAAGAAAATTGTCCTTTGATTATAATGGAAGCTCTCTCTCTCTCTCTCTCTCTCTCTCTCTGTATGTGTGTGTGTGTGTGTGTGTGTGTATATATATATATATATATAAAGTATCAGTTGAACACAATGTTTTATTGATATATTTACAGTTTTAAAGCAACTTGGAAGTCTGCTGGTGCCTGAATCACTATAATAAAATAAATTCTAAATACCCATAAATTTCGTTATTTGATTTTGGGGGTTTTATCGTGGAAAATCAGAGCTCCCCCTGCACCCTTAGCTCACAGAACACAGGTCCAGGCCATGTGCATATACACACACATGACGCCTCTGCCTGTCTGCACTCCTCCTGCTCCCTCTCAACCCCTTGCAGGCTGCAACTTTGCCCGCCTGCAGATAGCTCTTTGCAAATGTGCAAAATCTATGGGTTCCTCCCTTAAAATGAGAAAGTCACGTTTTCCTCTGGGAAAGGGGGGAATCTCCATTTTTCTCCTTTTTTCCATGGGAAACGGAATACCTGAATTCCTGCCCATCAGGCATTTCAGTAGCAGCCAAGTGCGTCCTGCAGACAGGGACCATAACAGAAGGTCCTTTTCCTAAAAAGCTCACAAGCTAAACAGACAAAACAGGCCAAGAGCAGAAAGAGAAAGTAAAGCAAAGGGACTTGCCCGAAGTCATTCAAGAGGGCAGTGGTGGATCCAGGCACACAGGTCCCTGGAGCAGATCACACCACCTCCCCTCTCCATGCTGCTGCTTTAAAAGCCGTTTTGTGTTGAATTCAATTGAATGTTACAAATACACAGAATGCCACTGTATTGGAGGTAAAAACAGTTTACAGTGCCCAGCATGTTATGAGCAAGAGATCCAACCCCTGAAAGGTATTTGCTTTTCAGGGAACATCTGAGAAGCCATTGGTCTGTGCCTACGGCCTGCCATGTCATCTGTCAA